TCTAAGAACGAGGATACTCTCGCTGCAACAGGTTTTGCACTGTCCACTGTTTGTACTCGCAGTAATTCAATACGGTGACATTCTTAGTCATCATAAATATGGTGACCTCACTGGTCCAGCGGTTTAACACACCGCCGCACTTCTGACGGTCACAAGTTCTATTTCTCGCACAATGCAAATACTTTTATTCAATATTATGGTTATTATTTATTGGTACCAGTTAGTTATATTATTACATTAGTACCCATTTTTTATTTGAGGATTTTGGGCTACTGTCAGGTGCAAAGACCTGTAAATCTGCGACCTAGATCTATGTAGGTCGCAAATTGCGCTCGCTCCTTTTCAAAGTTCGCTGCCTAGACCCGTCAGAAATAAGAATTGTATCTCCTTAGGATAGAGTGTATGCTTTCCAAAGGAGATATTTCATTTATGCATGAGTGGGCTACAACTACATAGGATGTATAGGACTAGTACCCGTAATACAAGGTCCGCGTGGCTTGGGACTAGACTATTTACTTACTCTTTTATTTATAAGTAGACCATACCTCTTATAAACTCATTTAGACTACTGAGCTATTTTTTTTACCAACTACTTACATTATTTGATACACAGTGACAAAACAGTGTATAGTTAAAATTGGTTTTTAGTCAAAGACATAATTTTAGATATATAGTTAAGACTTTCATAAATATCTTTTACTAACAGTGCACGCAGTTTCACGCGCATTCAATTTATAGCCTATGTGTTATTCTGATGTTTATACTATATTCCTGTAAAGTTTCCTCAAAATCCGTTCAGTAGTATTTGCGTGAAAGAGTAACAAACATCCGTCCATCTAACCATCTATACTCACAAACTTTCACGTTTATAATATTAGTAAGATAATCTCTAACTAATTATAACCGTCAAAGCAAACATAACTTACTGAATTATCTGATCAAAGAAAACATTCTTAACAATAAATTGTGGACATGAACATAAATAAGTCCTGAAATTGTTTATAAAAATCTAAACATGTGTAAAACACGCCACATAACCGTATAAACGTAAGGAATTCTAGTTACGAAAGAAAATTGGCTATTAATCGGAGCGAATAAGTCGAGATTGCATCAATATTAATAAAGATGGCCGCCGATACGCGGCCGGCGCATGCGCATAACGCCGCTGCACCTCGTGTATGCAGCGCGAAAATTTCTACTCATCAATTGTAATACAAATCCGTAGTGCTCCATGTGGAACTGCAGTGTTCAAATTATTAAGTTAATTAATATCGTAACTTAGTAATTAATAAATAAGATTCAATTTCAGTTTTGTGTTCGTGAAGATTAGTCATGGAAAATATTTATGGTGTTATTAGGACTTTAGGCAGAAAAACTTTGAAACGGAAGCAAAAGGTATACATGAAATAATAGTCAATTATTTTTATACACTAAATTTTATTTGCCTTTGATTTGTCAAATGATAAAGATATAAGATAAGCCGTATGAGATAGTTCTACTATAGTTACTTACTGAACCTAAAATGTTTGCTCATCTATAGGTGTTACTACTTTCCATTTAAAGAAGCACTAACTGATCATTTCCTACTTACAGTTATAACAGTAGCTTTTTCATATATTACGGACTGTTACCAGCGATTCCGTCCGCGTGAAATTAAAATAAATAAAAATGCTAAAATAAGCATAGCCTGTGTTATTCCTTATAACATTACCCATGTGCGAGTGAAAATCCCGTCAAAATCGGTCCCATCGTATCCGAGATTAGCAAGAATAATAGACAATAATTTCTAAATTAATTTTTGATGTAAATATTGATTTGAAGTATATAGTTTCATATATATACATAGGTATAGTGAAAAGTTATTAATTCGAAATTCAGAAGACAATTTTCTTTAAATTATTAGCGTAGTTTAAAATATAATATATTTTCTTTCTTTAATATTTCAGTGTTATCAGATACTTCTAGCAATATAACGCTGAAGAATTTAGTGTGTAATGCTTTATTGAGATTAATAGTTTCATAGATAGAGTATAATACATACAGATAATATTATATATTTCTATTCTATAATATTATAAAGAGATAAAGTTTGTGAGTTACTCTAGGGGTAATCTATATTTACTGAACCGATTCTGAATATTCTTTTAGTGTTACAGAGCTCATTTATTGATCATTGTTATTTTTTTCTTATTAGGAAAACAATACAGTAATACATAAATAACATTTTAAATAAATATATACATTACATTGTTATCGCATATATTAAACTAAAAAGCTTGTATGTTTTAGTTGCGAAAGACGCTACAGTAAAATAAACTACTTAATAAAACAAAGATAAAAGGAATTGAATAAATATGTTATTGAAGGATCACTGAGTAAATATATAATATTATAGTACATAACATCCCATAGGAGACGAGCTGTAATGAAAAATGATGCATAAATTGAAAATATCTGCTGCAGGTGAAGCGTGTTCGAAATTGTGCGTGTCAGCAAGTTATATAAATAAATAAATATAAATTATCTAAATCAACAAAACTCATACGAAGCTAAATCATTTTAATTTAAACTAGCATAGCGGCCCGTTCTAATTTTGCCCGCTTTAACAATGCATAAACACAGACTCATAAAATTTGCACTCTCTCTTTATAGAGTTAGTATGTTGTTTAATTAAAGTGATTACCGACCGAATTGGTAAAAGTATAAGGAAAGAAAAAATACCACGTCGAAAGTATAAAAAAGGAGAAATACTACATTGTTTGTTATAAAATCCTGTTTTATAAAAAATGCAGTATCCACTAGTGTTAATCTACGCTGTCGATTTTCAATAAATGTAGTGATTGTCGGTTTTAGGTTTATATTTACATATTTTCACACGCTTCACTGCATAGATTTACTTATAAATTACCTAACAAATAGTGCGTACATAAAGCAGAAAGAAAAATGGCAGTGCTTGCTTTTCAAGCTTACAGTTGTTAAAATAATTTTATAATTAATATACATTGTATTCGTATTAGTAGTATTATAAATTCACGGTTCGTAATGAGCTCCTGCTGAAATTTTCAGATACGGCAATACGCACTTTATTTACTGTACTTTCTACAAATTTAGAGACTAACAAAACTCATAGTATCGTCAAGAGAAACAATCATAATTAATACAGTGGAAACTAGACTGAAAATCGGTTAAGCCGTTACTGAGATAAACGCACAAACGGACAAATATATATCTAAAGGATAACTGTTGTGTAAACTAGTTCCTAGTAGTGCTACCAACTTTGAAGTGTTTTTTTGTTTAAATTAACGTGATCGTGTTGCTTCTTACTAGTTACTATGATATACATTTACTATAATCATATGTATAGATTATTCAATATATAGCTTTGCCGGTGCGTAGTCCAAACGGTACCGTGACGCCAGAATACACATCGCAAAATACCACTTCTCTGGCCGGACGTTCACGCTTTCCTGACCATGCTCGTTGTCTCTTTTTGCCGCGGATGCCATGTTAATTGCTGAATGAAATAGTCATGATCTATCTCTCTATACTCGAGTATCGTTACTAGGAATCAATTGCACGCCATCTTTTTATAAAAATTCTCGGCGAACTACTCAAAAAATTCAATACTTTACTAGTTTTTAGGCGTTCCGTCTAACGCGCTTGTGGACGCTTACTGTTTTATGTAATTGGAATGAGCATAGACAACTGACGGCACACCTGATGGTAACTACTAACCGTCGCCTATATACATTAATAACACTACATGTATAAGGTTAACACGTAATGCCACTTAAATGTAATTCTGATACTAGGATATAATTCACTGCCAAATTTCACCACACAACTGAAACACAGCTTACAAAGCAAGCTGCTTGGTGGCTGTAATATGTCTACCTCTGCTCACATCGTGTTAATAATATTATTCGAGGAAGGCTATATATAAACAATATATAGCCTTCCTTCGAATAATATGCTAACATTCAATTTAAAATCGCATCAGTGGAACCGAAGATTACCCCTATGATATAAAGTAAGATGTAAATAAACGCTAAGATATAAATTCTAACATAATTAATTTAACATTTATTAAGACTATAGACAACTTCATTTCACTTGACCACAGACTTCATTACATAGTATAAAACAAAGTCGCTGTCGCTGTCTGTCCGCCCCTATATATGCTTAAATCTTTAAAAGTACGCAACGGATTTTGGAGCAGTTTTTTTTTAATAGATAGAGTAATTCAAGAGGAAGGTTTATGTGTATGTACACCCGGACGAAGCCGGGGCGAGTAGCTAGTTAACAATAAATAAAAGTATATCTATATATGACTGTACTTTTTACTGAGTTAATAATAAAGGAAGGTATTATAATGCATAATTCTAAAAAAAAATATCATTCTGCACTCTTTCTCTATCTATACAAGTGTGCGAAATTTCATTATTCCTAATACTCCGTCTGTACAATTTTCTTAAAATGGGATAGTTAATTTTTGCTTCACGTATTAATCTGAAGATAGATATTGTATTACAACTAGTATTGTAATTTTAATTAATGTGTATTATTATAACCCCTGTATAATTACATTAATTTTTAAAGTCTTTTATGAATTCTTCCAAGCTCAAACTACGAGTATATTCCGAACTGTCGGTTGATTTCAATTACCATAAGTAATTATAATATTGTTATGTCCTATGAGAATAAAGTTATATTTGATTCTTATTTTAGTAAGAGTGTTTTGTCTACAATTATGTATACTAAAATATATCGCAGACAAATATACCGATTACAATATTTCTATCCTTTAGTACTGACACTAGAAAGTATTACTTATTTTGGGACTAGATGCCTCCTAGGTTATTATTATTAATATCTGAAAATCTATCTGAAAAATTAGATACAATCAAAATATCTGCATAAAAAGATAAATAAACATTTCATATGGTATTTTATAAATATGATTTCTGCTAAAACTAATCAAAATATCTTGCTTGTTACAGATTCAACCAAAACCAACGACAAATGGAGTGATAAAGGAACGTATAACTGATCGCGAGAACAGCAGAGAAGCCAGAGAATCCAGAGACTCTAGAGACTCCAGGGAGATTCGCGAGTCCCGGGAGTCTAGGGAAGAAATAGAACACTTGGAGAGAAGAGCACAGACCTCATCGCCTATACCTCGAGAAAGAGAGAGAGAACGGGACAGAGATAGGGAAATACGGGACGATAGAAGAGACCAGTCAACGCCACAGCATGATGGAAGGCATCCATTGCTACAGTTTGCTGTTGATCACTTCAGACAGAGCCCAGAGTGAGTACAGAAGTTGTTTTTATATATTGCATGAGTTCTATAGTTAAGCGGCTGCGTATTATTTACTCTAATATAAAAAAAGAATTTAAAAAATATAAATACAACCCAAAACTTCATGTATATTTCATTGTTTATATTACATTAAAAGGAAACCTATTTATAATATTAAGCTAAGATAATTCACACAAGCTAATCACATCACATCTTTGTTATGGGTACTAGATAACTGATAATAAAAACAAAGATGTATATTTTTTTGTAATTGTATATATAAAATACATAGACATAGATATAAAATACACCCAGACCGATACAAACAATCATACTCATGAATACAAATGTTTGCATAGTGCGAATCGAACCCACGACTTTCATAACGGTGTTCTTAACCGCTACACCACCATGGTCGTCGATTATACATATAATTATTTAGATTATTTACAGTTAAGCTCATCCTAATGAGATGATTCATTTAAAACCCGAACATTGTTCTTGATCGGGTTTTAAAAAAACCATCATCATCAACAACAAAAATGTTTAAACTTATATATAACTTTTGAGATGGAAAGAGCCTTAAGCTACAGTTACATTCAGTTGTGAATAACATATATATAAAAAAAACATCACAGATATATAAAAAATATTAAACTTAAAATATCTACTACTTTGTTATTATAACCACAATATTGGAATCAGTATTTATGAAGAAAATAACAGTTGACTACTTTTTTTAAAATCTTTATGTATTTTATAATCAAATTTCTTAACTTATTTTAATGTCATGTATAGTATTGTAGGTATATGTATATCACTAAATTAATCAGTACAACATTTTTTAGTATACTAATAACATTACACACTTGTAGTGGCATCGCCAACTAACCAGCGAGGCGTGCCGTCACGCTCTAAGAGTTTTTGTAATAAAATTATCGCCACTTAAAACGGAGAACAATTTCTGGATTCTATGTATAATTGTATAGAATAACTTAAAGAATTTTTTTTCGGCGGCATCCATTTTTTTTATACGAAAATCGTGGCAAACAGCAACAGGTCCATCAACAACCCATCTGCAGGTCTATATTCTGGAATACAATCAATATTTCTACGGATCTTTTGAAACCTAATAAGTACAACATTTTATACTTCGTTAACAATAACAGTTATGAATAAAAAACAATTGAATTTAACAAAATAAATTATCTAATTTGACAGTCTCAGTGGTTTAACGATGGTATGCCGCTTTACTTCCAATGATTGCGGGTTCGATTCCCTTCTCGTTACAAACATTTATATTCATGAGTATTGTTTTATCGGTCTGGGTGTTTTCTATATGTGAATGTACAAAAAATATATTTAAGTATTTTTATCAGTTGTCTAGTACTCATTACATGATCTCTGCTTAGCATAGACTAGATACTGTGGTTAAAAGTGTCCAGGTTGTTATTATTATTATTATTATACATAAATGGTATTTCCAAACCAATACGATATTCAAACCTGTAAAAAAAAAGAACTTATTCCTTCTTAAAAGGCCGGCAACGCACTTGCAATTTATCTGGTGTTGAGGTGCTTACGGCTGCAATCTTGCAATGCAACTTGTTATGAAAAAAGACCATGCTATGAAAAAAGACGGCGCTCCATCAATCAATTTAGATAAAATCAAGAAATGCTAGATATATTTATTTACTTTGTCTTATAAAATGTATTACATAACACGTGTTAGAACCGGAAACGCGTAATACAAGAAACATGATCATAGATCGTATCTGCTAGTTACCTGACGAATGGTAACGATGTAACCACCATTATATAGTTTTATTTATTACAATCTAGCACTCTGCCTCGACTTTGCATGGATACAATTATTTTATAGATCGCAAATAATTTAAAAAATACAGTATATAAGACTAAGACTATGTTACGCGTTGATAATGTTCCTGAATAGAAAAAATATGTTGCACTTTACTATATTAGGTTAGTTTTGCGTTCTGTATGATAGCTCTACCACGGCTCTTTATGAATGAATGAATGAAAATCTAATTCTTAATTCATACATGTTAGCTACAATACATAAAGAACACTCAAGTTGACTAGTTTGTTACTTACATTTCAAATTTGGAACCGTAGTGAGTCACATGATGTTGGTGGCGTCATGATTGTGCCGCCGTAGTAGATATAAAGAGGCCGGGAACAAGGAGGGAGCGGGCTACTGTCACTCTGTTCGAGGCGACAGACGTGAATGTACAGCGACGCAATTTATGTGGAGTGTAATTTGAAAAAGGAATAAAATAAAAGTACCTACTGCTGCATCGACGAACCATTTCGGAAACTTCCCAATATATCTTATATATAAAATTCTCGTGTCACAGTTTCCGTTCCCATACTCCTCCGAGACGGCTTGACCGATTCTCATGAAATTTTGTGAGCGTATTGAGTAGGTCTGAGAATCGGCCAACATCTATTTTTCATCCCCCTAAATGTCAGGGGTAGTCCACCCCTAAATTTTTTTTTTATAAATAAGGCAAAACAACGTTTACCTGGACAGCTAGTATTATATATTCCCCTGTTGATATTGTTATCTCTGTATCGACAATAATTTCTATAGGATGTCATATTAGTAACAAAGTTTGTTTTCTTGCCTTCCTTTGAGATCCCCTTTCAAAGTTCGCTAGATAGCGATATAGATAGAACTTAGCTGATATGACTTACGCCTATATGGACTATGGATATCACATTATCATGGGACGCCCGTGGTACATGGGGCGTTGCCTTACCGTAGCACTAAGATGCCATGCCTCTTATCCTGTAACTTTGTTAACTTGTCTCACTCTTAAACCTAAACAAAGCAAACTGCTGTAGTAGATAGATAGAGGTAACCACGTCGATTATATTTTACAAATTCTATAGCATTTTGAATATGGCTATCAATATATGACATGTGAATCAACTAATTGTAATAAAAAAAACCTTGTAATTTGCACACGTTTTTGGTACCTAATAACCGACATAGCTTACATTCAATTATAGGTAATGGAACTCCAAACAAATAATTTATCATAAACAATAGAATAGAGGGTAAAGTGGGCGTACAATAGACAATTTGGCGCGAAAAACACAACCATATAACATTTCGGCTACTTTCATGATGATTCAACATCATCGTCATGGATGTATTGTCCAATCTATTTCATAAGATATGCTTAAGTTATTATTACTAAATAATAATATATTATAATTTTAATTTTTAATATTATTTTTTTAAGCTTTGTTAAATATAAAATGTTTGTTAAATGTTAAGCCTATTTTGTAAAGGACATAATTCTTCAATTCGATAGGATTTTTTGTCTTATTTTACATTATACATTGTGTATATATACACTAAAATCCTGTCTCAGTCCTATCCGACTTCGGCAATTCGGAACGAAATTTTATAGTTCTTTTTACAAGTATAAGCTCTAATAACGGGCTAGCTAGCTAGGGTTATAGAACCCTCACTGGTCATTGTAAATTAAATAAACACATGCTTTCGTCCTGTGCTTAACAAAGATTTGCAGATTTTGTCAGATGGAAGAGGATACGCCACTACACATCCGTGGTTGTAGCTTACTCATGTGTAAACGAAATATCTCCTTTGGAAGTACAGACTCTATTCTGTGTAATCCATCGCTCCTAAGAATATCCTTTAATTCATATCCCTGACGGCCTTTCTAAAAAAGGACAAACACTATATATGTATATGTACAGGTCGCAGTACTATACTACAAGTATGTTTAGCACCCACTAAATAGAATAGAAAATCATTTATTCAAATAAACTTAATTTAAGCACTGTTGAATAGTCATAACAATTTGTTTTTTATCTACCACTCGTTCGGAAAGCTTTCTCAGCACAAGAAGAACGAGCAAGAAACTTGTGTGTTGCTCTTTTAAAAGGCCTAAACCTCTTAAAAATACAACGATAATGTTTACTTCTACAATATTTTCGTCACAATTATATTCTTGCTTCTTTTGTGGAATTATTTACTCATAGTGAGCTATGTTATTAAGTAATTTTGTGATCTACGTAACACCATTATTTGAGTTCACATAACGACACTTATTCTATTCTTCCCTAATTGAAAAATAGTTTTTGAATCTTTTGACGTAACAATCTATTATTTCTCAATTTGGTGCAGGTAATCCTATTACGCTGCTAATGCTACAAATGTGCAAATTGTGAATCATATTCTCAGGACAATTCACACAGCGCCATCTAGACCCAAGTTGAGCTAGCTAAAGCTTGTATGGGTATGGGTCTAGATAACTGTTACAAATACTTAGATATTTTTTGTAATATTTTTTGACCGATATAAACAATCATAGTCATAAATACAAATGTTTGAACCCGCGACCGCGAAATAAAGCGGTATGTTAAACCGCTAGACCGCCAAGGCCGCTAACTTTTGATGTCTTATGACTGGAAACAGATTGTAATTTGTGAATAATAAGCCTATTTTGAAAAATATAAAAGGGTTTGAAAAATATACATAATTACAACAAGCATAAATGGCCTAGCCCTATTTAAAAAATAATAACAATGTAAAGCAGATTTCATCTGCCCAAAGTTGGTTAATTTCTAAAGAATCCCAGATGACCATTATAATTGCACCTGCCCATTGTTGTCGCGTCCTCACACAATGATGTGTAGCAATCAGCTTTAAGTCTACAACCATTGCCGATGGTTTCAAACGGACGCAATACAACTGGATATTAGAGGAAACAAATTGATAGAGATAATCGGAATTATTTTGGGCCACTTGTGATACTTCTGTCAACACTCGAGACCCTTCCATTAGTTTACGTCTCCAGTTATACATAGATTTAAGTTCAGTATGAAAGCAGACAGCATTACGACTCCGCGTTAAGTGCTCGCGTTCCTATTAAGCCTTGTAACATACTATCATAGTACAATTATTTTTTTATTCCAGTAAGCTCACAACTACACAACCTTGATACTACAAT